CTTAGCCACCACACCACAAGACACAACACCACAGCATTCTCCTAGAGATAATGAAGATGATATTTGCTTGTTATTGATGATGATCAATAAAAAACACTCTTTAAAGTTGTCCTTATAGTATTTCTCAAAGCAAATCCAGGGTCTATCAACGCACAAAATAATTTTCACCACCACACATAGCACAACTGCCTCAGCTCACAACACATCCACCACAACCACCCAACTACACCCCTACACACACATCACAACCACCACACCACAATTCACAACACTACAGCCACCACAACCCACAACAAAACCATCACACCTCAAATACGGGCAACACAACCACCCCAACAATCCATCACAAGTAGCAGTAGCAATCCATCACCAACAAATCCACAATAAAGGCCACCACCCCATCACCAATGAAGGCAATCTAACACCAATGCAAAATAACATGAATTAAAAACTAAAATCACATAAATTGCAAAATCCAAGAACAATGAACAACCAATCAAAAATCAACTACCGAATTGAACTCAGAAAACCATCGCAAAATCATAATGTCAGAGAAAAATTGGAAGAAAATACTGCAGGTCGAAGGAGAGCAAATGATCCAAGCAGAGACGAAGCACAACCCACAGATCGGACAGGTGGAGGCGATCAAGGATCTCACCTCTAGGGTGACGAGAGAGAGAGAGGCTCAGTCGTGAGAGAGGAGAGAGAGAAGCTCGGTCGCAAGAGCGGCGAGCGAGGGGGTAGGGTAGTAAAAAATGGGTGAGTAGCAATACTAAACTCGAGTCACGGGGTCACAGCATCGCATTTTTCAAACAAACAAAAAAAAATCTCAATTTAAGCCCGCTCCTCGCGAAAAATGCGGCCCTAAACATACCCAAAGAGAGTAAAATGTAATTTTGTTAAAGCATAAAATGTAATTCTAAACTATTCTAAAAACATATAATAACACAAATAAACATATTGTTGCCTAAACAGCCACTTTCACAGTCTTTTTCAGATATCTTTAGCTGCCCAAAACAGACGCTTGGTTTGCCACTCCAAGTTAAATTTTCTAAACACCAACATTACCAAATGGTATAGCGTGTGTGAATGCTTGGAGAGATTATTAAATATCAAAGCCATTTTTTCAAGTAAAGACTGAATCAAGGCAAAATTAAACAATTAATAAGCCGAATTAAGCTGCCCAAACGTCGTCCAAACGCTCCCCTAAAAGCTTGCTTCCGGCGAAATCCCTCCTCCAACAAATAGTTAATCTTAATTAATGAGCACATAAATGTACAATTAACTATTCATGCACGCAAAAAAAACAAAAAAAAAAAAATCCAAAATATTTTCATTTAAAGAAAGATTCGATTTTGATTAACGGGAAAGCTAAAGCAGTCTATAGAACGTATTCTCTGAATCTAGGAATTCATTAATTATAATACGGGAACGACAATAAAGATCAGAAAGTAATAAAGATTATATTTTTATCTATACCCATCTTCTTCCCCAGCTATACATATAAATACTGGCCGCATTCACCATGGCTACTCCAACATAAGAGCAAGGATTCAACAAGCAAGTTTAACCGCAGAGAAGAAGAAGATGGGTTCTTCAACAAGATCATCGTCATCTTCTTCTATTGCAGTTTCCCTCCTCATCCTCTCCGCAGTGGGACTTCTTCCCCTTCTTGCT